AAATTCTCAGTTGGAAAGGAGCAAGATTCAGCACCTTACAGGGCTATTTTTGGGTTGGGGCAAATATTACATTGTGATTAGGAATGTGGTGTAGCTTCCAGCAGGCTTTCTAAATGGTGAAATATGAGGCCTTAGAATTAGGAGAGCCCACAAAGATGACTTACTCCAAAGGCAATGGCTCTGCCATCACAGTTGGAGTGCATCTAAGCCCAGGATCTATCCTTGATCAACGGATGAATTAGCTCTTCTTTCAAAAAACCAGACAGTTTTCAATTGAATGAAGACTTTAAAAAAGGAGAATCTGAGGACTGAATTTGCTCTTGGTAACCCCTAAACTAAGCTTAAAAATAGTGAAAGGAAATTTTTTAGAAATTAAAATTCTTTGAAAATCTAATTTACTGCTGCATCTTGCTCCTTGTTTTTGGAGGCATTTTGAAAAAGGAATGATATCATTATTGTCATTGTTAAGTGCTTCTTCATTGGCTTCAACTCATTGCAACCCCAAGCACAACATAATGAAAAATGTACAGTTCTTCCTCACAATTGCTGCTAAGTGTGAGCCTATTGTAGGCACTGTGTCAATCCATCGTGTTGAGGCTTTTCCTCTTTTTTGCTAATCCTCTACTTTATCAAGTATGATACCCTTCTTCAGGGACTGGTCTCTCTTGATAACATTTCCAAAGTACATGAGACAAAGTCTCACTATCCTCACTTTAAAAGAGCATTCTGGCTCTTTAGATTTGCTTGTTCTTCTGGTAGTCCATGGTATTTTCAATATTCTTTGTCAACATAATTCAAATGCATCTGTTCTTCTTTGTCTTCATTATTCACTATCCAGCTTTGTAGTCATCCATTTTCCTGCCATCCTATCTTGTGAAATTTGTTTTTTTGGAAAATGCTGCCCTTTTGGATTTATATAGTTGATTATTCTGAGAAGCCTGTTCCTCAGGGGTGTTATTACTCATTTTGTAGGCCTGTCTACTGTTTGACTGAGAGGAGATCTCAGGAGTGGAATCAATTCCAGGTTTGAAGGGTGTCTAAGGATCATACTCTTCTGGTCAGGAGCCCTGTGAAGGCTTGGAACTGATTCCAGGACACTTAACAATAACAA